GACCACTGGCCATTGATTATTCATAGAGTCTGTGATTGGGTCCATTAATACAAGATTAGGGAAGGAACCGATGCTCATTTTCTCTCTGTTTGTGTGTGTTTTTGTGATTTAGTTTGTGTGCTGTAGGTGAATTGTAATAAAGGTGCAGTTTGATTCATCCAGAGGCTATAAAGGCAAAACATTATACATGGAAAATATATCAAAAATAACATCAACAGGGTTCAAATTCAACTTATTAACACAAATTGGGTTTGTTTCATTTAGATGATGGTGTGATAGACTGCTGTAAACCAAAACGGCGAGGTGCCTTTGTTTAGAAATGAGCACCAGCATTCCAGCAGAGAAAGGGAATTGTTTAATCTCATACTGTAAGACTTCCACCCTAATAGCATTTGTTCTTCAATTGGAACTTAATCTGGGTAAATGGTGCTTAAATGTTTAAATCACATTTACAGGCTGTCAACTGATCTGATGTTCTTCACATGGTCACCCTTCGTTTGAATGAAAATAAATTGATGGCAAATGAGGAAAGATTCTGCAAAGTGGGCAGAAGAGACAAATTGCATTGTAGCTCCCCCAAGTGGGCATTGAGGGCAAATAGATAAATATTTGGAGCCTTTGAGAAGTAGCAAGGTTTTCAAAAGAGGCCTCTGACAACTTATTTCATGGACAAGTTGATAAACAGGGTAACCAAAAAGTTAAAGGAACTGCATCTAAGACTGAGGTCACTATTCTTCAAATAATAAATGCAGTCTGGGTTGCTTCTTCAGACCACTCATGTAAAAAAAATGAGCTGCTGACATTTCATATATCAAAGTCCTCATCATTATTATCATCATTACCATAATCATCACTTTCATTTAACACAGGGGATGGTGGTTGAATATGACTTTACAAATTATAACATTTACAAAATGGCTTCAATAAAGAAGACAATTTATTTTTATTTAACATACAGCAATTTCATAATTCAAAAAAAAAAAAATGTCTGTTCTTTTCTTTCATTTAAAACCTAAAGTATAATGACTGATTTTTCTTTCTATTATCAGTCAGGTTACAACCCAGCATGAGATTTTTAAGACCTATAAGGAGCACTATAAAACAAGTTAGTTACACAAAAACATTGAACAAATACATTATAATACAGAATTGGTATCTGCAACCTGTCAAGATGAGGGAGGCCATTGTGTTTTTAATCCAGAAGAGGAAAGATTATTATTATTTTTTTTTATGTTATTCAATGATGCTTCAAACAAAATCAAAGGTACAAACTGTTTCTGGCTTGGGCATAGGTGTTCAAGAACACATTAACTGGGGACAGAGAACTGTCCCTTATTTTATTTCTTTTTATTGTCTTGTCTATTGTTGAAAAGACTGCCTTATTAGGAATATTTAAAACTGTTCAGTCAATTAAAATTTATTCAAATTTTAATCAGAAATACTTTATTAATCCTAAAGGGAAAATAAATCATGCCCCATAAAAAATCAAAAGGTCTTTTGAAACTTGTATATGACAGTTCATCCATTATGGTATCAGTATCCCAAAACTTTTCATATGAATTTACTTCCTCCATTGCAATCAAAGGCTGATGGGGTTTATTATTTGTCACCAACTAGTTTAGTACAGACCAGTTTCATTTTTGCCGAGAAGAGCGTGATAAGTCTGATGTATAGAAATATCTATTCTGTTCGGCATTCAAGATTTAAGCTCAGACTAAATCCCAAAATAGTGACAAATAATGCTTCACCTTCCACTTTATGTTCCTTATATGTGCAGGAGTGTAAATGATTTGGTTTCTCTAGCCAGAGACACAAAGATAGCTTAAACAGAAGAGACCCACTATCAGTCTGGGACTGTTTGTGTTCCTGTGATGTTGGACTTGAACCATACCAGCATCTCTCTAAGGGCCAGGTTTCCTCTAAAGGCCTTTTGTGGGTTAAGAACATGCCCAGCAACATCTGCACTTCCATTTATAAGTTCTTATAAAAATTAGAATGGACCAAAGGGCATCCCTCTCATTCTAATGTCCTTCTATAGGGTGTTAACACCTGACTGCATCTTCGTGTTAGTATGTAATAGAATGAGAGCCGTTAATAAAACGGGAACAAAAATACCCTCTGTTATCTCTATTATTCCTGGAGGAAACTGAACATTCCAGAGACAACAGAAGAATTACAAAAAATATCAAATACTCCTTCCAGTGGCTCATCAGGGCAGACTGATGCCTTTGAGCAAGTATTAGATTTCTAGGAGTCTGTATACTGTATCCTAGATGACTTTCATTTTTATCCCTGGTCTATCAAAAGAGCCAACTTACTGCTGTTCTCTGAAGTCTTATTGAATACGTTTTTTGTGACCAGGGCAAAATCGGTCTGCTGTTACTATCATCATTGCAACTCCTCCACAATTCTTCAATTATTTTCACTCCTGTCTATATTATTACTAATCTTTTCTACATTGTAATGAATTTAATATATTTGAATAATGAAGGAATTAATAAAATGCATTTTGAACAAATAAATATGTGATATAGTTCATTTTATTCCTCCTTTTCCTTATACCCCATTTCAAATATACATATTTTAAAATATATCTGTTTCACAATATATGCATAGATAACCTTGCATTGTACCCTCCTTGTTTTGGTGAATCTGCCCAGGATGTTTCTTGACAATAAATTGTTTTTGGCTTTAAACATTATTTGAGCTTTCTGAATTTAAAAAAAACAATAATTTTTATGAAAATGTTATTACTGTGCTCCCTGAATCCGGTTTGGTTGTTTTTTCTTGCAGTGTGCATATAGGCTGTTTAGTGCTTTTATAAATATATCCCCGAGACACACAGGATGACGGATATTGCAAAAACAATGAAAAATGTATCTCTTCATTGCCCTGAGATTAACTACCCCTCTTTACAACCCTGCAAGAATAGCTGAGGGTATGATGATTGTGACAAGCAAGGAGGACAAAAATATGCTCTTTCCTGTTTTTCTCTGTGTCATCAGTTGTTTGTTACAGTGTTGAAGTCAATTACTCTGAACATTTTGTGACAATGATTGGCAGGATGAAAGAGAAATCAAAAAGACAATGTCATTAACTCTATGCTCAGGTTAACAATCTACATGTTTTTCACAGACCGATTTAACAAAGCAGATTTAACAAACTCAGACTTAAATCCTCAACTCTATATTGACCTAGCCTAAGAATGGAAATTATTTTTTTTGTTTTGTTTCACAACAGCTGGTGTGAGTAGGTTCACTCAAAGTTGAGCGTGTGCATTACAACTTTGAAAAGTCATCATCATCAGCTGCTAAAATCACATTTCTAGTTGCAACTGTAACAATAGATTTCCTAAAAGACATTTTGCCAACAGAAACTAAAATTAGTTTCATTAATTTAATAAAGTTTTGTATACCTAAAAAAGTGTCCATTTAGACATATATCAGCTTGACTGAATATGTATTTATGGTAACTGAAATACATTTCTTCCTAATCATAATAATACAAATTATGACCAGAAACAATCAGAATATCCATCCATCCATCCATTTTCTTACACGCTTGTCCCAAGTGGGGTCACGAGGGGTGCTGGTGCCTATCTCCAGCAGTCAACGGGCAAGAGACGGGGTACACCCTGGACAGGTCACCAGTCCATCGCAGGGCAACACAGAGACACACAGGACTAACAACCATTCATGCACACACTCACACCTAAGGACAATTTAGAGAAGCCAATCAACCTAACAGTCATGTTTTTAGACTGATAGAGTAACAATACCCACAAATGTAATAAAACAACTGAACATAGTAAAAATATGCAGCATTTAATGTATAATCCCTCAAACATAATAAGCTTCCCACAAATGTAATAGTCACTGCCTACTAAAAGATGGTAGAGTTTTTGAGTATAAACAGCCTGTTTATGGTGATGTGGGGCTTAGTATTATGATTTGAAGGCTTGTTCTTTTGTGCTGAATACCATTGTGCTCTGACAACAGAGTGATGGTGGTTGAACATCATCCTTGAGAATTTTCTGGTAGAGATAATGAAACCATCTTATTCACTTCGAAGGCAAAAATCGTAACAACACCCCCACGCTTTAAACTCTAATCTGTAGACCTCCCAGATAAATTATAGGTGCTCTCTATGCATTTAGGTTATATGTTTCATGATTTTTTTCTTGAACCCAGAATCTTTTTCAAATATGTTTTAGAAAGAAATGTACGAAAAAAAATAACTTATTAATTTCAGTTTAATATGGTAAAAAAATTCAGAATTCTGACTTTAATCATAGAATTTTGACTTTAATCTTAGATTTCTGACTGTTTCTCGGGATTCTGACTTAATCACAGAATTTTGACTTTAATCTCAGATTTCTGACTTTTTTCTCAGAATTCTGACTTTAATCTCAGATTTCTGATTTTTTTCCCCTCAGAATTCTGACTTATTTCTCAGAATTCTGACTTATTTCTCAGAATTCTGACTTTAATGTCAGATTTCTGACTTTTTTCCTCAGAATTCTGACTTATTTCTCAGAATTCTGACTTTAATTTCAGAATTTTGACTTTAATCACAGAATTCTGACTTTTTTCTCAGAATTCTGTCTTTTTTCTCAGAATTCCGACTTTTTTCCCATATTAAACTGAAATAAAATTTAAAAATCAGTTAACTTTTTTATTTTTTCAGTGGCCCTAGATGAAGAAAAAAAGTATATGTAAGGAAAAGAACAATGCATAGGGCCCTACTGTGCATTTTGTGTGTGTATAGGGGGAATATCTTCATCATAATTTAGGAAACTATTGTAGAAACAAAATCCTAGAATGCTGACCTTAAATGAACTGGCATTCTGGCTAGTATGATCAAATAGGCAGAAAACAAAATACACAAAGAGTAAACGTCCCATGGACCTTTTTGCAAACTTGCTCTCTATGGTTCCCATGTGGTGAACCTGCTCAGATGGTCCAGGCATTGTGATGCTGTCTGACTCCGTGACGCTGTTTATCAGCATCCTCTCAGCTGCTGCCATTTTTCTGCTACTGGCTATCTTGCTAATCGAGAGCTCTCCATCTTCAGGAGGAGGCAAAGAGGGCTGCCAACAACAATAAGGGAATTTGAATCCGAGGCGAAACCTTTCCTGGAGGATTGGGGGTTTCTCTAGTAAAGAAGACAGTCGTTAGAAAGGCGATACGATGTCTGATTTTGACAGTAATCCGTTCGCAGACCCGGATTTCAGCAATCCCTTCCAGGTAGCTAACATGGCTAGCATGGTTGCTGCCCATTGAGCCCACATTATTTACCTTAGCACCAAGGCTAATAAGCTAGACAGACAAGAAGCTCCTCCAGGAGTGTCAAATGCTATCTTATTTAATGATAATATAATGGTTTAAGATACGTTATAAAGTTATATCTCAGGCGATATTGCCGTAAATAACGTAATAACATCTGCAGTTGTATATGTATGCTAGCTGTGTAAAGTAGCTTTAACCGTCGCCTGTAAATATTTGCATAAAGCTACTTTTTTTAGAGGAGAATCTTATTTCTCATCTTTATTTAAGTTTAATGTCCGTGGCAACATTTTTTTCTCCAATTGTAGATGGGAGGTAGGCCGTAACAACTGGAAGAGCAGAGATGCAATTAAGCGCAAGCGATTTTATTAACGAGATTATTACACACAGCAATCCTCTGGACACATAAGCACCTGTGGTGTCGACAGGATTTATTTTAGCGTTTATTTTAATGTTATATATCTATCAAGCATCTAACAAGCTTTGTAACTGGATCATATAAATTAGCAAAAAAGTTTAAATAAACAATTGACCATTTACATCTCGTAGATAATTAAAAGACCTTTTAAACCTCATGAATCGTTGGTGTGATGCTTTCCACTGTTTTAAAAGATGGACCTTTAGGGAAATTTTTATTTCTAAATAAATAAAGATTGTTTAATTTACCTATAAATAATTATTGTCCTCCTTGGGCTGAACTAAATGGCCAAACTATAATAAAATATTTGAAAAACTTTGACTTAACATAAGTGATATTGTTTAACTTCAAACATGTTTTTGTTAATTATCTATTTTAGTTGAAGCCACTAACGTAAATGCACAATAAATGTTACTTAAGTTAGACTTAGCCCAAACTCAACAACTAAGATATACTAAATGAAACAAAAGTTTTGATTTTTGCTGTACAAATTATAGTTAAATTCTATAGAAAATTTCAGCATAAATGAACATAATTTGCATGTAAATGTTCCTCTGAATAATTTTAGACTATTTGCCCTTGAAAGCATAAACTAGCAGATTATATTGTTAAATGAATAAAAAGAAATGGAGTATTTTTTTGTTTAACTATGTTTGTGCGTCAAAGCCAACTGTATTTTAATTAAATATTTTTAGCACTTATAGCGGCTGCAGTTACACAAATATTTATATACATTTATTGTGGATAATAAAGATGCATTGATCCAATATTGATATTAGTATTGCTCTTAATATTCTAGAAAATTCCACATTGGCTATCAGTGAAAATCGACCCGATCGATAGGGGGAGATCCTATCCAATTAATTTTGTAATACATTTAAGAAAGGTTAACAATATGTTAAACAACTGTAAAGTCAACCCTTAATAGCCTTTGTCTTTAATTTAATAAATGCAATTAATTTGGAGCTTCACAGTTGCACATTTGTTTTCAGGTTTGGAGTTTGTCCTGTTAACATGACTTTGTTTCTCACATATACTAATCTCAAGTTGCCTTTTGATATATATGCGTACATAATACATAGCATGCTTGCAGAAAGGAGTTTATGACAGCGCCTCTTGAAAAGTTAATACTAATGATGAATACATTAAAGCAAACAGAGCTCTGGTGTTAGGGTTTCTTCTGATCTCCAAATTGAAGTTTCAGAATTAGTTCAGAAGGGAAAAAATGTGGATCAGTGCATTATAATAATCTAATTTCTGTTTGGTGAAGATGTTGACCTACGCCTAGAGGAGCACCCAAACAAGTGTATTTGCTAGGATTTTAGTTTTTTTTGGGTTATCTTTTAGAAGAAGTAGATTCCCTCCCTTAACTCCTGTTTGAACCTTTGTACCTTGTAGGATCCTTCGGTGACCCAGGTGACACGGTCTGCCCCTCCTGGTGGTCTGGAAGAATATAATCCCTTCACAGACGCTAGAACGGTTAGCTTCAGATTGTGCATGAGAGTGTGTGTGTCTGTATTTTAGAGTAACCTAGTTTACTCCTGTCTTTCCCCTGTCTTTCAATCTGAAGGTAAAATGACATAATATTTTGCGGTAATATTCAGTTGCATAGGTGACATTGTGGATGTCTTTTGCTGGTCTGCAGGCGGCACCTGGAAATGCTCCCAAACCTACACCTGCCCCTTCCCAAAACACGCAACCTGCCATCATGAAGCCTACAGAAGAGCCTCCAGCTTATTCACAACACCAGACTCAGGTAATCCCATAACATCATCACTGCTATGCTCTGAGCCACAGCTGTATTTCTTTACTTTCACTGCAATAGATAAATAATTCATCACTCACTAATAGATAAATGTATATAGATATATTTATTGTAAGCCGTTTTATCTTTAGCAGGGTTGCCAAAGATAATGGAGGACTCTATGTTCCCCCGCCCTGATCATGTGTTTTAATAATAGCACAATTTTACATTAGTAATTTTTTATTTGAGCTTCGAATTAAAGAAAGAACTTTGTTCTTCTCTCATTTGCAATCAAGTTAAGAGATAATGACCATTCATCTCATTAAGTTATGTCTCCTCTACAATTTAAACAATCATATTGTTCTTTTGTCTCTTAAGATGAATAAAGTCCTCCATAGTTAAAACCACATTGCAATGGTAATCATCTGATTATTTATTTAACTTAAAATCCTACATGTGTATCTTTTTGCACAACAGAACCTCCATCTATTCATTTGATTAATTTTCCTTGTTGTTCTTTATATACTTTTGTGTTTTCTGATGACCCAGCCGCAACATAACGAGGTACAGTCTTTAATCTGATGTTTCTATTTATCACAGAACAGTGATTTAGGTTTATCGACTTCCCCTTTTTTTTTACCTTTAATTATCAGATGTAGTTCTTAAAGATAGGTTAATACTAACAGAGATGTGTTTTTCTACTCCTTTTCCAAACTAACATAACATTTACCAAAATTAAAGATGGTGTAAATAATTGTATTATTTTAAGTAGGTTGCAGCTTTCAGGTGTGAATCATACAGGCTTTTCTGTGTCTTCCAGGACCAAGCTCGTGCTCAGGCTGAGTTGTTGAGAAGACAGGAGGAGCTGGAGAAGAAAGCTGCAGAACTTGATCGTCGGGAAAGAGAGTTGCAGTCCCATGGAGTTGCAGGAGGTTATTCAGATTTCCATCACTCATCCATTTATTTTCCTTGCAGCTGAAACTGCCCTTAGTGATCAGATCTTATTTCATTAAAGTTATTCAGCGTACAAGTAATTCTGCAATTAAAAAAATATTTACTTTGCTTTAGACTTGGGAAATAAGTTTAAATAACGCTCTCTATTAGGGGTACACATTCCTAAAATGTATCTTAGCTCTGTTTATTTAGACAAGTATCCTTAGCTTCTATTGATAATGAGCTTTTAGGTGATAAGAGATACATTGGTTATCACCCCCAAAATGTATTTAATAAGGTGTAATTTTGCCTGCATCTAAATCTCTGGTATAAGCAAGCTGTTAGAAACACCCCTGCTTCCATCTGATTCTGTTTAAAGTTTTTTTTAATCTGTTGGTTAATGATAATCGGTTCAATTATTCTCATACCAATAGTAGTTAAGAGTTATTCTCTATTTGAGTAATATCACTTGATCAACCTTTTTTAACATTACACACTACAAAATGAGTGGCAAAGGTATGATTTATTCTGATGTGATATCGATTAATATCAGTATCGTTAAATGCCTGAAGTTGCAATATTGGTATCGCATCAGAAATAAGAAAGTTGTATCAGAAAAACCCTACGTTGATCACATAGATTTAACGTGTTTAATCAGTTAGTAGAAGCTATAAATTTCTAGAGCATTAGTTGAGTAGTGAGTTATCATGTTTTGTTTTTGTTTGGTTTGGTTTTTTGGGGGTCTATAAGGAGACTCATCACAGTCTGCCATGCACTTAAAAGAATTTGGTATTTAATTTATTTTATTATAGTCCTAATTGTTACTCCAAATCTGTTATGATGTTCTATTAGTGAATATGTGTAGATTAGAAATGTATTCAGAAAAATTACAATCTAATTCAAAATATACATTTTCATTAACTGTACACTTCAGATAATTTTTTTTTTCAGTTGCATTGCCATTACAAGAAAAAAAAAGACAGGGTTGAATTAACATTTTGATTTTAAAACCAAACTAATTAAAAAGAATTTGCTGACTGAGCTGTTCATTGAAATTTAGCTGTATTTCGTCTATCTATGTTTGACCACCTCGATATCTCAGAAATAATGTTTGCTTAAAAAAAGCTAGAATTTTGTCTTTTAGAAATTTGAATAAAAGTTTTAGGTCTCATTCTTTTAAAACACATTAGTATTTATCCATCTATCCATTTTCTTCCACCTTATCGGGGGCTGGGTCACGGAGGTAGCAGTCTAAGTGGAGATGCCCAGACTTCCACAAACAATGCCTCCAACTGCTCTGGGGGGAACCCGGGGCGACACCAGGCAAGCTCAGAGACATAGTCCCTCCAGCATGTCCAGGGCCTTCCACGAGGCCTCCTCCCAATAGAACATGCCTGGGACACCTCCCGAGGGAGGCAACCATGAGGCATCCGGAATAGATGCCCGAGCCACCTCAGCTGGTACCTTTCGACGTGGAGGAGCAACGACTCTACTCCGAGCTCCTCCTGGGTAACTGAGCTCCTCACCAGATCTCTTAAGGCTGGTTTATCCTCAGAAACAAGGTCGTCTGCCTGTGTGTCACAGTTATCTACATCTGCTCTACTCTATGCGTATTTCCTGTTTGGTACCTTACCGGCTTGTTTTGTTTGTTGAAGACCGAGGTGCGCGAGGACGTTGAGACCCTTTTTCCACCTGGATCCTGCTCTTTTTCGCCCAGTTGTCTCTCCGTTTTTGCACAAATTTGCCCCTTGCGTTTTTCCACTTCCTCACCACCTCGGCCATATCTAGACCCACAGCTAGTTCGTGATTGCCCCTCTTGCATTGTGGCATGGAATAACAGTGCAGACCACGCTTCAATATCGGGCATAAATCAAAAATATCTGCGTCATACCTGCGACACACTGCTGCGGGAGTATAACCAGCCTTTAAGGGTGTGCCCAGCCCCCCTGCGAAAGAAACTCATCTCGGCCGCTTGTATTCGCGATCTGGTCCTTTCGGCCATTACCCAGATTAGCCTTCATATGCCTCATAAATCATAAAATGAAATGTTATTTGATATAAAGTAATATTAATTATCAAAACACTGTCTGCTTTGCTCATACAGGCCGAAAGAACAACTGGCCTCCACTACCAGAAAAGTTTCCTGTTGGTCCATGTTTCTATCATGATATTGCTGTTGACATTCCTATAGAGTTCCAAAAGACCGTCAAGATCATGTACAACCTTTGGATGTGTAAGTTGACCATCAACCTCACCACAATACAGGATGTAAAAATTCAATTTAGTAACTTCCTTCAAAGTTTTCTTATACACATAGGGTTAAAACTAGTTCTAACAACTGAATAATGCTGTAAGTATATCTTACTCTTTTCAGTTCTTGCTAAAGTTTGTGTGATGTGACATACCAGTTCATGCAGGTACACTTTTTGTGAACATGTTTGGCTGCCTGGCATGGTTCATTGTGGATGCCAATCGTGGTGTGGATTTTGGCCTGTCCATGCTCTGGTTTCTGCTCTTCACCCCTTGTTCTTTCATCTGCTGGTACAGACCACTTTATGGGGCCTTCAGGTAAGTAAGATAATATGTCATAATACTTAATGTTTCAATATGAATTATTTCCTAACAGCTCCTGTCTTCTTCTCACTTCAGGAGTGACAGTTCGTTCCGCTTCTTTGTCTTCTTCTTCATCTACATCTGTCAGTTTGGAGTCCATGTTCTACAATCTATTGGCATAACAGGCTGGGGAACATGGTAAATATGTTGTGCCATCACTTGATCTGTCTCTCTGACTGTTTACAGAGTTCCTTAAAGCTGTCTTTGGTTTGGTTTTTGCCAGTGGCTGGATTGCAGCGCTAACTGGTCTAAACACCAGCATCCCAGTTGGCATCATCATGTTACTGATTGCAGCTCTCTTCACTGCGCTGTCCGTGGGCTCGCTCATAATGTTTAAAAAGGTAACAAGATTGCCATTTACAATTGTCACACTGTTTAAAATATCTTCTTAATTAGGATTTTTTTAGGTGTTTGGAAATTAAATCTCTATAAATCATAAAAGTTTTCATAAAAAATAAGCGATCAGCAAAGGGTCCTATATGTGACATCTAATACTTCAGAGTACTTCTCAAATATGCTAATTAAATGATAGACGAATCATCATGGTAGCTTTCATTTAATGATTAAATGACACACAGATGGCAGCTAACGTCTCTGCAGACCCCACACACCCTGGACACAAAGTGTTTAGACTTTTACTTTAAGGTGCTAGGGACATTTACTTCCTCCAGTCTTTCTCTTTGATGAACATAAAATTAAGAGTCCCAAGATTACAAGAACAAACCTGTTATTTTAAAAGTGTTGTGCAGAGTGTGCTAAAAAATATTTAATTCCACAGGTGGTTCATTTTAGATTATCTAAAAATCCAATTTTAAGCACAATGCACTTCTGTTTCTCTCTGGTTTAAGTTTCATTTCATTGTGGATAGCATGTAAAACATCCAGAGACTTATAACTGTGCTTATCTCTGCCTTTTCTAGGTTCATGCACTGTATCGAACCACTGGTGCCAGCTTTGAGAAGGCTCAACAGGAGTTTGCGACCGGCGTCATGTCAAACAAGACCGTTCAGACTGCAGCTGCCAACGCTGCCGCTAATGCTGCAACCAATGCTGCTCGCGGGGCCTTCAAACCTCATCCATAAACATGTTCCAGGCACAGATGCTCACAAATATAACAAAACACACACAAAAACAACTACATGGAGGCGCTGAACTCTGGTCCCGGTGCCTCTCAGATTCAATAGAGCATATTTATGAATGTTTCCCCTGCACATTTATCTTCTGAGGTGCGAAGCAAAATAACAGACGAGTTACCAGAGTCGATCATCTTCACCTAAAACCTAACATCAGTGAAGACACTATGGAATTCACCCTATCAGGTCACTGTCCTGTCACGTCAACAAAGCGATTAAAGCTGGGCTTTAAATGTGTGTAGTGAGCGATCTGATTCTGCACTGTTATCCACTTTGGTTCTTTCCTCGTCCTTTTGTGTCCTTTGAGACGATCCTAGATGAGGCAGATGACACAGACGCTCTAGCCCAATTTGTTGTGGTGATGACCTCCGAACAGCTACCCGCTGGATCAATTCAGTGTTAGAGTTATGAGTTGTTAGAATCTTTTTGCACACAGTTAATTTCATTTTCGCTTTTTTTTTTTTTTTTTTTTTACAGATGGATTTCAGTGCAATACTATATATTTTGAGCAAGTAATGGGACATTTAGGACTTAAAGGTAATGTTTGCTAGATGTAGCAAGATGATAACATTCTTAATATATGAAAAAGCATTTCAAAATTATATTACTTAAGTCATGTCCCAGTTATAACTCTCAGTTCTGCTCTGTGTGCTTCTTTTGTTCGGCTGATTCAACTCCTTACCCTACCTATACAGCATGATGGCAATAGGCATGCTAAACAGAAATTACAGACAAAATCTTTGTTGCCATCTTCAACTTCATTTCCTTCTATCAGGCTCCACGGGTTTTTCTGCAAAAAAAAGTGTATTACTGTAATTCAAGTCGTGGTTGAAATATCCAGGTGTATTCAAAGTGGGTAAGTTCCAACAGAAACCAATGTACCCCTTCATTTTTTTTTCGATGGCATTAACTCATTACTACAGTATGTGACCCTCAGTCGTTTTTGTATCTGTTCTCACTTGTTAGACAACTAACGCTGCTAATAACCTTAGAGTCGCTTGATCCTGGGCTCTTGCTTTCCTGTTAGAAAAAAAAGAAGAAAAAAAAACAAGTATGGAGAGAACTGAAATGCCTTTTCTCTCAGGAGAATTTTTTTATTTTATTTCATAAGACTAACCTGCACATATGTTAAAATGAAAAAAGAAACCTTAAACTGTTTTCATGTACACTACATAGGCTAACAGTCCATCATTTGAGCTGATGTTTCTCTGTCTGTGTTGAATTACAGGCAGTAGAAAATTAGTACCCAGAATAAACCCTAAAGGAAGAGGGGACTGAACCTGATGCATACTCGGTGCCATCAACATGTCTTTATTCACACTAAAGTTGTACAGACTACTGTCACCAGAGTGAAACATGGATCTGCGTTTTTATCCTTCCGTCGTGCTTAGGCACTTCACATAGTGAACGTGATCGTCTGAAGATGTGCATGATAGATGAATGATAACCGCTGTGCAAAATATTAAATACTCCCAGAAGTAAATGTTAGAACATTGAGGTCTAAAATAAGCTCAAATCTTGGCAGTATTGCTTTTTGTTTGGAGTTATTTTTCTATACATGAAGCATTTCTCATTTTACATCAAAGTTAGTGCAAATAATGTGTTAATTTATGTTAAGTTATTTAAGCTGTTTGCATTTTATTTTTTATTTTGCCTGTGTGATTTTTGTAATGACAAGGTTAACGCGACAGCTAGGCTGTAGAAATGTTTGACTTTGCAGATCAGCCCTGCAAACATGCGTGTGTTTTATGAGACTGAGTGTAAACGATTGGAATGGAAGAATTAATCTCAAGTGTTATTTTATGTCCTGAAAAGCTGTGATAAACTACCAAATGTTCATAGAACTGTTTTGTTTTATCCAGTCGTGGCTTTGTGATGTGCACCCTTCAGTTTTACCTTAAGTTATTACAATACTCTGCTAAATAAACCCACATTATTACCATGTATTTATACTTTTTAAGTACTATATGAAGCCTTGCCACAGTGGGTAATTTTTTTAAGTGTTTGGCAAACTGGTTCTAATGTACAGAATAATCCGTTTTAGAAGTCTACTGACACAAAACAGTTTTCTTTTTTGTTTGTTTTTTTGTTTTTATTTGGGCCTGTGACAGTGTTATTCAACAGAATCAAATGGGTAAAGGGACACCTGTATATTTTGTAATGTTTGATCCTCATGATCAAACAAGTGTAAAAAGGTGATGCACTCCTGTCTGGCTTTTGTCGCATGTGAAATAGTTTCAGTTTTGTATATTTATGGTATTAACATTAAATAAAATTTGAAAGAAGTGATATTTGTTATTTCATTTTAGATCCATTTAAGTTCAGTTTGCAGACAAAGACTCCTTGTTCAGGAGTCTCCCATCCAGATCACTTTAAAAGCCTTAGCTGAACTTTACCACCATTAGGGAAACTATTTCTTTAAAAATTACTGTTTAAAATACTGTTGAGGATCATCTTTAGGTCTTAACCATATAAACGCATTTTGAAGGATAAAATGCGTGGAACTGGGAGGAATTTATATACTCATCTGGTACATAACTATTTATGGATCAATGCTTCTATAAGTTTTTTCGTATGTCTGGTTTGATCTCCTTTAACCAGAGGCAGTTTGCACTTTACCTGGTTCAGCTGGAGGTTTCTTTCTGTTAAAAGGGAGTTCTTGCTCATCACTGTCACTGCATGCATGCTCGGTGGGAGTGACTGTTCTAGAGTCAATGGAATAATGAAAGTAAAAATCTACTGTTGCCTGCTGCTCATCAGAGAGGAATGAATTCTGTAAAGCCACTAACTCAATTGGTTTCATTAGAAAATCTTTAACTAATCTGACTGTATGATCTGAATGAATCGTGTCTATAAAGTGTCATGAGATGATGTGATTTGAATTAGCACTATGTAAATAAACTGAATTGAATGTAAATAACAATTTCTTTATATTTACTGCAGAATTTCCTTCATGAAAAAGTTGTGTATTCCTAAATGTTTATTTACATGTGGACATTTATTTTTCCTCAACATCGTTGAACAAAAAAAAAAAAAAAGCAGTTTCAAGTTTAACAAGATTCAAAACTTGGACACAAAATCTAAAAAAAAAATCACTGTGTACCTTTTGCATATTTGTCATGCTGCTGTTAAAATTAAAGGTAATTTCAAATAATATCAGTGAAAGACTTCCAAACGCACACCGCTGCAAACAGACTCATATAAAATATGGATTTTGAAATCTGTATTAAGTGCATACGTAACGTCTGTCTTAGTGCTTTTAAAAAACAGCTTGAAATTTTGACATAAACTTGTAGGAGCCTTGCAGTCCTGTGCAACAATCCTTTGTCACTAGGTGTCAGTGTCTCCTCAGTAACTTCCGAGTACATGTCAACCTGCAGTTTATACACAATTTTTATTTTGCAGAAGACAAGAAATTAATTTTACATAATTGATCCCTTTCTATTCATCAGTCTCATAACTGCTTTAGTCACTGAGGTAAAATATTTTGGGGTGAACCTGGATTCAAACTAAAATTTCAAGATGCTTGTTTAGTTTATTACTGAGTTCAACCTTTATTATAAACTTTAAACATAATAGAAAGTTTAGCTAAGACATTCATGCATGCACTTTACTTTCCAATATTCTGTGTCATCTGTTGGAGAAACAGGTGACGGCTATTTATGTTGGTCCAAATAGACTGCTATTATACTGCTTGAAAAAAAACATTGTACTGTAATCACTTGTATAAGAAAAAAATAATTTTTTTGAGCTTTGAAACTTGTAAATATTTTAAATCTGTATCTTTTATAAAATAGTAAACACTCTGGTCCCTCCACTACTATCTGATTTTGTCTATATTTATCCTTTGAAGTCGATTCAAACAATTACATTTTAGTTCAGAAATACTTTATGATCCCAAAGGTAAATCAAATGATGTCGTAACTCATAGTTAAGTTTTTTCAATGTGTTGTTTCATATAGTAATAGCAGTAAGCAGGTCTTTGTAGATCTTCTGTAGCAGTCTGTCTTGTACCAGAGCTGTCAGAGATCCTACAATTCTACCGTACTGTCACCCAGCATGCTGCATTTTTTTTATCCCATCTAAAAACTGTCATCATTGACTATATGCAGACACGCATACAGTGAGGACCATTTTTCCAATTTCAGCATCAAATTAAGGACCTGCTGTTGTATAAGTGAGAACATTTTGCTGGTTTGCATGAACTGATATGAAAGACGTTCGGTTTAGGGCAACAGTGTAAAATGGGGTTCAGGGTTGGAGTATTTGGAGTATGGGTAGTTGCTTGTAATACCTGTTTAGGATTGTTTTTGGGTAAGCTTATGACCTTCCTGAGGACCAACGGGCCTTGTTGGGACCAGAGGCTGGTTCTAATGTGATGCGCCCCCCACCCAATTTTAATCTTAGGGAGTCAATTTAATGGAATGGTGAAAATTAACTTTGGGTTAAAGAAATGTACTGGTAAAGGTTAGGCTTAGGGTACATGTCAGGCTTAGGTACAAATGTAGTAACTTCAATGAATATAAGTCAAAGTGAAGTCTTATTATGCATACAAATACAAACGTGTGTGTGTGTGTTCTTGTTTAAGTTACCTATTGTGTGATGTGAATAGAGATTATGTTTTGTTCTGTTGTTTTATTTATCTCTTTTTAAGACAGGGATGTATCATATGCTATAATCTGAAAAAATTGCATCAAATGGCATTAATGTTTGAGCTATGCACGGTCATCTTTTAAATAAAGTTTTATTATTATGAGCAATATAAGCATGCATCACATGTGCTGCTGTTCATTTGTTAATGTAACAAAAATATACTTTAAAAAACACTAGATAATCCTCCTTGAAGCAAATTCATTTCCCTTGTAGTTTCAATCATTCCCATCAGTCAGCAAAATAATTAAGTGTATTATTGCACATAAGACACAAATTATTAATGAAGAAAAGCACAGAAAACTTGAATAATAACAGTTGCAGTCAAAGTTGGAGCATGAATTATGGAAAAATATCTAAAAAAATTATGCTGCTTTAAAAGAGTTAAATTTAAGTGCAAAATGCTGCCAAAGGTGCTGTATGGAACAGAAATACTATGAAAAAGCAAAGATATGAAATAGATATCCACCTTGACGAAATAACACTGAAATGTGAGCAAACCTAGAAATGTATGCATCAAAAGCAAAATCAATAGAAGCAAAAATCACATAATGGGAACTGGAACAATAAAATGTGTGGCCAGTAAAGCTTATTCTACAGGTTTCATTCTCAAACCCAGTCAAACATAACCAATTAATAAAGAAAACTCAAATCTCAGCTTTTGTGCAGCAAAGTTAGGACAAAAAAATGTAAAAAAAAAAAACATAGCAATTGAAATATTATAACAAGATTATTTCTGGTGCTTATCTAAAACAGTACTCTAGGGCAAAAGTTATAATGAATCTCGATGTAAGATTCCTGGTTCAAGAAATGTAATTTCAGCAAAATATGTTTTTTGGCAAATAGCATTAATAAGAATCTGCTAGTGGTTTGCTGGTTGAAAATATCTGGAATTTTGCTCACTCCTCCAAAAACGTTTTGAAAACCATTCAGAAGTCTTTTTAATTTCTGTAGCTTGTTTTGTGGTGGTCGTGTTGATTGAAATCTTGCAAACATCCATAATACAAGCAATGCTACTTATACATAAGTGACATATCCACAACTTATTTCTTTAATCTACTTTTCATTTTTTAAGGATTGTAAAATGACAACAAAAATAAATTTGTACAAAAAAATGAATGTGTAACCTCCTGATCTATAACAATTTTAGAAATGTCACATAATATTGATAGAAAAATAGAAATTTTTCTACTTAATATCACAAGCTTTTTTTTTTTTTTTTTCTGTAACACTCTTTTATCCAGAATGGGAAAACCCTGAGGGAAGTCCTTCTCTTCCTTCCATTCATATCTACAAGTGTGCACACCCTGAAAATTCCGCCAAAGGTGATTTCCTGCTCTTCCTGGACATTTCTTTAAGGCTCAAAACAGGCAGATAAGGCTTTTCCCCTCCTCGATCTCCTCCTGAACCTTATCGCTGGATGTGGCGATCTCGGCCTGTGCAGACAAGACAGAGCAAAGAAAAGTTGCAAGCGTTCCTCCTATCGCTGCATAGAAGGCCCAGCCAAGTGAGCACAGGGCAGGCCTGAAGGGCGAGGCCTCCTTTCCACAGAACTGCATCACCTTTTCCGAACCCCAGCCTGCAGGGTACAGCATCAGGCCAACCATGAGCAGCAGGCCTAGGGTGAGAGAAGGGATCATGCATTGAGCTGATTGTGTTTGTTATAGATAGATGTATTTATTTTAAAAGTACACTTGAAGTAAAAAAAACTTTGCTTGAGTAGATAAATATATATGAAATTTGTGATCACTGTAAAATGTAAAAATAGATTTATAGAAATGCATATATATTCATGCTTGTTGCCTTAAGTGGGGTATGTATATATGTGTAGGGGCATGCTGCATGTATGTGTTCTAGAGATATGATGTGTGTGTGTGTGTGTGTGTGTGTGTGTGTGTGTGTGTGTGTGTGTGTGTGTGTGTGTGTGTGTGTGTGTGTGTGTGTGTGTGTGTGTGTGTGTGTGTGTGTGTAGCTTCACAGTCCATTTGCAAGCTTCACAGCTGTTCGAAGGAAATGCTGGTATGAATGAGTTTGGATGTTTAAGGTTAAGGTCCTGATATAATAATAAACACTCACTTGGAGGTGTGAGAAACATCTCATTTTAGACTTCGCCCTTGGAGAAATGTAGTGCAACTAGGTTGTGAAACTAGATATTGCAGCTTGCAGAGTTACGTAAAAGGAGTAGCTTGATGCGCTGACCACAGCAACAAGTCAGCTGTCATCATCTTTTTATGTTTTCAGTTCCACTTTGATTTGTGTTATTATGTGTTTTCTTGTTCATTGGTTCAATCGGTAGAATTATTAAACGACATGGGGTAATTTAACACGTTAATTAAATTAAATTTAAATTAATTATAATAAAGTCAAAAATCTTGGAGTTATTTTTGATCAGGACCTGTCATTTAAATTCCATATCAAAAAGGTTTCTAAAATGTCCTTTCATCTGGACAATGTTTAAAAAAAATTGAAATATCCTGTTCAGGGGTGATGCTGAGAAACTAGTCCGTGCATTTGTTACTTCAGGGCTGCACTATTGTAATTTTTTACTATCAGGTAGTCCACATACGTAGTAAAAGCCTTCAGCTGATCGAAAATGCTGCAGCCAGAGTTCTGATAAAAATTAAAAAGATAGACATATCTCTCCTGTTCTAGCTTCTCTACACTGGCTTCCTGTTAAATCCAGAATAGAATTTAAAATCCTCCTTCTCACATATAGAGCCTTAAATGGCCAAGCTCCATCTTAGATCAGAGATATGATTGTTCTTTATGTTCCTAACAGAGCACTTCGCTCTCAATCTGCAGGTTTACTAGTGGTTCCTAGAATTTCTAAAAGTAGAATGGGAGGCAGATCTTTTAGTTATCAGGCTCCTCTCCTGTGGAACCAACTAACAGTTTTAGTGAGGCAGACACCCTGTCTACTTCTAAGGGTAGGCTTAAACTTTTCTTTTTTGATAAAGCTTATAGTTAGAGTGGCTCAGGTTATCCTGAGTTATTTCTATAGTTAGCCTGCTATAGACTTAGACTTCTGGAGGACATCGGGACCCCTTTTTCATTATTCTGCTTCATTCTATCTCTATTTTCCCACTCTGCTGAATCTGTTATTTCAATCTCATTATGCTCTTTCTGCTTTTTCTCATAGTAGCTTTACCTTATCTGTTCCTATTTGGCTGTGACACCATCCTGGCCTTTCGTATCTTTGCTTCTGTCTCCTTGAACACAAGTTGGCCTCTGCAGATGGCCGCTCACACTGAGTCTGGTTCTGCTGGAGGTTCCTTCCTGTTAAAAGGGAGTTTTTCCTCTCAAAACTTGCTACAAGCATGCTTAGTGTGAGGGATTGCCAGTAATTGAGTCGATGCAATCAACTGGTTTTCCTTAGATAGAAAACTTTGAATCAATTTGACTTTATGATCTGGTAAACTGTAAAATGCCTTGAGATGATGTGTTGTGAATTGGCGCTATAGAAATAAACTGAATTGAATAGAATTTTCCAATTAGGCAGTCTTGTATTTTTTTAGTTGCTCTTTATTCCCCCCGTGTGCTGTTCTCCTTTTCCTTAGTTCCTTGTGGTTACGGTACTTCTGTCTACACCTGCTCCCTATTATATAATTAGTCCTCACATATCCCATTTCTGTCTCCCATATATACACCATGTATATGGAGTATATATACTGTACAAGAAACCAAAAACCTGTTTTTTGATTTCCTGTATTTTGTTACTATTTTTCATTAAATCAGCAAAACTCATCTCTCCCTCCTCGTCTCTGCATTGTGGTCCTTAATCAACCTTCACCCCAACTTGACAAAAATTATTTTTAATGTTTGCCATTTCTATCTCTCCATTTTCTCTTAGCCATCATAACATCAATCATGGATGAACTTAGAACATGAAAACACAGCTAAAAAAATGATTATGGTAACTGGAGTTTAGCAAACATTCGTTGCAAACCAAAAGTCTCTCCCATGAAAGTGTTATGATTTTTATAAATAGAAATTTTGTGGCTTTGTTTTTTCTATTTTTAATCAATTTTCAGCCATTGTTAAAAAGCTTTGCAACTGCAATTTTGCATTTAAAAAAAACCATACAGTACTTTAAAGAAGCATGTAATATTTCAGGGGATAGTCTGGTGCACCAGAAACGAAAGTATTACCACTAAACATCACAAAATAAAAAATATGGTTAGAATTGTTTTTCAGCAGTTTCCCTGCAATGCAATTATTCCCAAGAAGGGATATCTTGGCTCTGCAGTGAGTTGGTGTGATCCATGAAACTTCCTATGAATCTCCAAATAGATAAAACAATGCTTTCTAGTTAATTAATGTTGTGAAAACATTTTCTGGGATTTTAATGTGACAGTTTATCATCTAAAACAAGAGCATTTTCAGAGCCCAGTCAACTGCTTATATTATGTTTTTGCAAGTATGATGTCTCATAATGTCAGTGCTTTAGTAATGCAGCCATTGGGTTTAGAAGTAAGAAATAATTATATATTTACTTTAAATATCTTCCTGTGGTTTTATTCTCTGGAGTTTAAACGCTTTAATAAAATCCACGAGAATACTTTCAAACTAACAAGACCACACTTGAGGTGTGGAGGCACCCAGCACTCTCCCACCCCCACCTTTTGCTAAACCCTGGCTGCGAGTCAGCTAAAAACAAGTAACAACTTTTCCCTCGCCTGCAAGAAGGACAAAAATATATTAAAATTACAGTTGAGAATCCAAAAGAAGATATTCAATAAAAAGCTCTCTGCAAACTCTTTTTATTATAGATTTATGCATTAAAATCTAAATACTATTAAATATATCGCTATACAATATTAGACTAATTCTAATAATCTACATATTATTTCAGGTATATTTTATTCAGTTTTAAACTAAAGTATTAAGATTATGCTGTGTGTATTGTTTGAAAATATAGTGATAATAAAGTTAATCTGTAGAATTTTTTTGTGATCACTTTTCAATAAATTTTCATTAGATACTAAATGCCCACAAATACAGAGCTGCTCAGAGTTACAAAGAAACATTGCATATTTACCTCCAATAGCCTGGAGCAGTCCACAGATATTGAATAGGCTCTTCTTCTTGATGCTTTGAAAACACAACGTGAAGATGGAGATGCAAGCGACACACCCGAGCACCAGTGTCCCAGCAGCCAGAAACAACATGGCGGCCTGCCAGAATTTACTGGCCACTTCCTCAAATGTGTCTGTGTACGGCCCACAGCTGACCCCAACTCCATAGGCCCCGATGGGAAGGCAGCGGCTGTAGAGGCCAAGAGATGACCGGTACCCCCTTACATCCAATTCTCCCTTGTTTACATCTGGCTCCGACTTTGGGTGTCCCAGAAGCCAGTCGGGGCTCATGAAGGCGACAAGCTCCATGAAGGCTACCATGATACTGAGCAGGGTCCACAGCAGGGAGCGGCATGTTACAATAACATGACACATATTTTTTTACCTCTGAGAAGGTAAGCACCAGTTCAAAAAATGGCGTAAAACCTCGTAAGAATTCCTCTCCGTCTGAACAAAACGGTCAGGGAGGTTCCCTGCTTAAACCAAGATGGACTGAAGATCCTCGCAGAGCAGATCTTGGTCCCTTCTATCCGCTATGTTTTCCTTTTCAGAGTTTCCCTCCACCCTTGGAGACGAGATGGTCATCTGAAGAACTTACACAGCTTCATTTAGCTGTAGTATTGCCTGGAAAATGAAGAAGGAGAGATATAAGAAAATATCAATCAAAATGTTCCCATGCTCTAGTAATCATCAAGTTTTCATCCACTGGTCCTCATTATGCTCTTTTCATTTCCTTACTACCAACCAAACTACCTTAGACGCTACTTCAGACCATCAGCCAGCTGTGAGCATAACATGAGCAATAATCCCAGATGGTTCTCAGAACAGTCATGATGAATCACACACACATAACTTGTTGAAATGACACAGTTAATCTTATGCCGGGACACAACAGGAGACTTGTGTGAGCAGCTGTCAGCACAGATCAGAGCAGAGCTTTGTTACAGCATGCCACATCTGACAGCAACAGAAAAACATGCTAGCAGCAGATACTGCTTAGATAGAGTGGAGTGTTTCTGTTAGCGTCTCAAAGACCATACATGATGAGCTCTATCTATCAGAGCCCTCCTATGTGAAAACAGCTTATATTTATTTCAGCATGAGTAACTGAATTTCACTGGAAGCACTTTTAATACTGCTGCAGTGTTATAATTTAGCTGCCAATTCATTATGATGACATAAAGCAAGAAAACAAAAACAAAACACTTTTAGTATCTTGTTCATAGACTGCCTTATTGGTTTAAGTTTGGCTGTTTTAGTTGGTCCGGAGAGGTCCCAGTAGGTCTCAGTTTCATAAAAAAACATGTTACCGGTAGTTTGCATTTCTAAACTTATTGACATTAAAGTTACAGAGTCTACCCAATGCATACCACCAGCATATGAGTCTGCTTCGGCATTTAAAGAGGTCTCTAAATGATTTGATATTAACTATGCCATTGCACAGAAAATGGTCTACAAGTAAAAGACATTCATAACAACTTCCAATAATCCAAAACATGTAAAACATCATTAGAAGACCTGCAACAGGTTATCTGGGCATAAAGGTCAGAATTTGTTTTCTAGAGAGCATATGAACCAAAACCTGGACATTTTGGATAATATTCCTTGGAGAGATGAGTACAACATAGCATTATGTTAATACCAGAGTAGAGAAAATGTTTAGCATAATATTGTCGAGCACTCAGAACGTAGGACCCAGAATTCAAGCAGACAGATCAGGGTAATTTCAAAACAAGCATTTATTAAAATGTTAACATATGGCTGCTTGTCAGCTGGGGCCAGCTCACTGGATACTCTGGTAAAGTTCAGTCTCACCCCAGAAGAAGGAGTGAAGTCCAGAGTTATATTTTCTCTGTAGCTTGCAACGAAGCCGCTTCCAGAGTCCCAGGAGATAAGTGGAGCAGAACAGACGCAATCGAAACCCAGAAGTCCCGGGAGCAGAAACTAGTCAAGATCAGATTATCAGAAAATCACAAAAGTTTCTTTTATTTCATATATTAATATTTGCTATTTACTCACTATAAAAGTTTTCACTCAGCCTGGTTCACCTGCAAGGCCACACAATTCCCCTGTGTGAGGGTGTTTTTAGACAAGATATACATTCTTCTCATAACAAACCAGATTCTTTCTCAAGGCTTATTCATAACATGTTACTGTTTAACCACAACTTTCCATTATTGTAAGTAAGGGGGAATAGATGCTGCTCAGGTAGAACAGGGCTGATTACCAAGCAATAAGGGCTGTATGATGAACTGTTCTCTCTTTGCAAAGATCATGACAAAGTGCCGACCGTTCTCCATTTATTTAACTGGAGCAAATAGTTGAACCCTTTTTTCGTACTTCATCTCACACTTGGCTCAAATACTCTGGTACCAATGGATGGGAACAGGTAGCTTAAATAGCAGAAGGAACAGGTGGATCTAACGAGAGACAATGAGCACTGGGCATGTGGAAAAGCAAGCTTAATCCAGCTATTAATGCCAAGACCATGGCAATATACTGTTCAAGGGAATATACTACATACAACCTTTGAAGTGTGGTGTATTACTTTCTACAACAGAACCTGGCCAACTCACCATCACAGAATCCACCATGAAACATACTGGGTTACAAAGGGAGCTTAAGGAAAATGTAGGACGATCTGGAAAATAATAAAGCTGGACTAGAGGTGGACCCTGAGAAATAACAATGACAACACATCGTATTACTTAAAGTGGGTTTATGACTATAATACAATTCTATTTCCTTACTTATTGGGTCATCTTACTTTTGATAAAGATTTCAGCACTTAACATTTATGAAGAGCTATGAATCACTCAGACTGGTTTGTCTGAGTCTGAGTCAGTCTCTAAAGTGCCTTTAGATGCAATATGTTGTGAATTGGTGCTATATAAATAGTATTGAGTTGAATGACTGCAGCAGTATGCCAAGTTAAACCAGGAAGAATAAGCAGCAGCTTTTCATTTTTTCTGATAACATCTGAGTCTCTTACAGGGAATCCACCTCTGAATTTCACTGCCCACAAAGTAACAGTGTTATCTACCGGTATTTTATTTTCAAATGGAGGGCTGATGTTTTTTCCTCTAAACATAGGAAAGAGTAGAAAACAAAATAAAAGGTTCCACTGAGCAAATAAAGAAATATGTCAAAATCAGAGATTAGGGCATGCAACTTGAGATGCAACTAGGATTTATTCTGTTAGGATGCAGTTTTTTCTCTGCTTGTCTAAAGCTAAATATCAGGAATCTTTTGTAAATTCAACATTTCTTTCTCTCAATTTACTTCTTTACCACTCCTAATTAGAGATTACATGAAACCTCAGCCAAAGTACTCTGTCTAGTGTCTACACATAATTACTAAGCCAGCTTGCAGATTGACAGTGGGAGTAAATTTCAGTTAAGTTCATGCCAAGCCAATTGGTACACAATATATAATACATTGCCTATGTCACTGTTCACTGTTTGTCAACAGCAGCAATAAATAGGAAACAAACAGGAACAATCAGTAACTCTCCCCATGAGTTCTATCCTGAAGTCATCATCCTTTTAATGCAAACCTTCTATTGAGAAAAATCTCCACAATGCATACAAGGTAAATCCAACAAGCCAGATTTAAACTTGTAGTACTTAAAGAGAACTGTGTCCAAAATTTAAAAAAAAAATCGACCAACAGTATAATATGGTACCCGAGTCATGATTATGTGGCACAGGACAATTTGTGGAGTGCCCCATGCTATTACAATACTTTTATTTGTTTATTTTAGGCATCTTCACATACGTTAGCTGCTCTTATATTTATCGGTTTCCCCTTTGCAACAATGGTTTTACACAACAGCTAAACCACAATCTATCCCAGCCATTCAAACATCTCTAGTAATGACTGATTATAAAACATTTAGATTTTACATAAAAACATATTTGTTTCTGAGTTTACCTTGTGCAGTATGAGTCTTTAGTTTGCTGCTGATTATAGTTTATTCAACCAGAGTGCTGCGCTTTCTGTTAAGACTACAGTGCCCACAAATTAGCAGCTCTTTCACTTCAAACTACACAGACGGAGCCATAAAATACATTTTTGGAAGGCAATTAGCAGGCTCCTTTTGTGTAGCCCTCAACTATTATAGAAAATTGTCTCTTTCTTACCGCATTGTGGCTCCCTTGTCTTTTCAGAGAATTTATTTTGAAGTGCTATGAAACCTTTAAACTACTTCTTTTAGGTTTAGAGGGATATTTTGAAGTAATATGGGAAAAGCAGGTGGGTTAATCTACTGGCCAAACCTGCTACTTAATCTTTTTTTTCTTTCTATCTTGCTAAATACTGTCAATTGGAGTACCTAAAAATTCTTATTCACTTTTTAAAAAGGTTCATAGTGTAAAATTACAACCCCATTTATGTATAGAAAGCATGTGTCCTCCTTTGAAGTATATGTACTTCTTTGACTTCGAGAATTGCCTTTTAAAGTTTGTATGATAGATTTCTCTGGACATGTGCCCATATTGACATGAAAACCTTATATATATATGCTGCCAGGTAAACATTTGCATTGCAAAATAATAAAAAATACATAAATTAGCCAGTTTTTCTTAAAATAAGTGCATTTTTTTTTCTTGAATTGAGGAGGTAAATGAGACTGCCAATGGCACAAGACAATTTACATTTAAAATAATAATAAAAAATAAATAAATTGCATTTTCTTATTTCAAGTGAATATTATCTAATTATCTTATAAGTCCATTATTCCTTAGATCAAAAACAATTCAACTTGTGGAGCTAACTGAATTTAAGATGGCTGAAATCATGTTAAAGGCCTCAAATTTGGAGCTCCCTGAAAGTATATAAAATATGTTCTGCCAAAGAGCCGTCAAGTACACCCTCAGAGGACATTTGAGTTTTGATTAACAGTACTGCAGAACTACCTTGAAAAGCATACGTGCCACGAGACATGGAGAAGAAATATGGAATAATCTAGATGAAAACATCAAACACTGCAAAAATCTGGCAAACTTTAATAAGGTTTACAAAGAGTTTTTATTTCTTAGATATGAACAAAACGATTGTGTAAGACATGGATCAAGTCTAGATGCTTTTAGATTGCTTGGTAAAAGTTTTTATCTTTTTTTTACTCTATCATGAAGAGTGTTCAATCCTAAAACAATAAAATAGGTTGCATTATGAACCTACTTAAAAACTCAGGAAATGCCTGATAAATGTGGTAAATGTTTTGTATTTCTACTTTCCTTTTATAACTTGGATTATCATAAGTAATAAAATTGGTGGTATTGTAGACCAATCAAATGACTGGTAAATGTTTTTATATTTCTTTACTCTTGTTCAGTTTGTACAAACATAAATAATAGATAAGTGGTATTTTGGACCTATATAAGAAAGTGCTCCGTAAATATTTTGCTTTCCTTTCAACTTTTCAAATACATAATTTGTAAAATCATGTATGTGTACAAACAGATGCTTTGCACCTGATGGTACCTTTTCCCTGCTTTTATCCTTTTTCCCAGCTTTTATTTTCATTGAACTGTTGCAAGTATAGAGCAACAAAATTCGCTCTCTGCACTTGACCCATCACTTTGGGGAACAGCAGTGTGGGTTAAGGGTTTTGCTCAGGAACC